TGTCTGGTGGGAAAATGGTTCTGCCTGTGGGAGGGGGCTCTGTCGGAGGGGTGGGCAGGAGCCAAAAGGTCAAAAAGGAGGCAGGTGGAGAGTCCCGAGGCGTGGGCTGATGAGGACAGCACACAGGAGGGCAGGACAGTCTTGCTAGAAGCCAGTGAAGGGGAGGTAAATCGCTTCATGGTGCAGACTCAGAAGAGGCTGGGCTTGGGTACGGGGAAGGAGATTTGGGGTTTGAAACCACCTGTAGGGTGTCCAGATGGGGAGTCCTGTGGGTCTGAGGTCAGGGTCTAGAAGACAAGGGATGGGGACATCCTGTCACAGGACAGCCAAGGCTCACTGGGGCTCCCCTTGACAATGATGCCCACACCTAGGCAGTGACCAGGTTTCACATTAGGAGTCACATACAGCGAGGGCGCAGGTTGGCTGGGAGCCATAGCTTGCCCCAGCTTTGTGCACAGTTGGGATGAAGTCTCTCCCTGGATGGTGACAGGGAGCACAGGAGTGATGGGCATTGGGCTGTTTCATGGACCTGAGGCATCACAGCAGGTGTGTGTTCCCCCACTGCCCACTCAATGCCACAGCAGACAGGCCAGATGGCATCGCTGATGTCTCAATTCCAAGAGCTGTCCTGGCCACCAAAGAGGAGAAAGAGAAATCTGGGGACTTGGAGGGGGGTGGGGACAGTGGACAGGGCCATGCTATCCACTTGCCTCAGTAGCCTGGGCTCACCCCTGCTTCTTCAGGGTGGGCAGTGCCTCCAAGGTCACCCCAGCATGCCTCTGCCCACCGGGTGGGGTGGGGTGGGGGCCCGGGTCACTTGGCTCACTGCCTGTTGGAGTTTTGTCTCTATTATTCTCAAGTGCTGTAGAATCGTCTCTGCCTCACAGCTGCTCAGTGGACAGTGACGGAAGCACTGCCCGGTGCCCCGCAGTCTCTACCACCGTCATGGCCGAGTCCACTGTTGTGTTCATCCTCTCTTTGAGCCCCTTCCTCTTTTCCCTGACCCCCTACCAAGCATGAGGAAGTCCACGACGAGCTGTGCCACTAACTCAAAGGGTGCACACGTCTGGTGGTTTGTTGGGTTTTTTTTTTCAATTTTTTTAAATTTCTTTTATTATTTTTGTGTGCGTGCACCGTCAAATCAGATCTGACTGGTACAGGAGGAGATTGTCCCTCCTTCCCCGGCAGAGCATCTGGTGGATTCGAACCATGCACCTCTGGGATTGTAGTTGCAGCTCCTTACCACTAGGCCACCAGAGCTCCCCTACGTCTGGTGGTTTGAATCTACCAGCTGCTCCACAGAAGATGAGCAGTCTGCCCCTGGTGGTGCAGAGTGTCAGTGACCGGCCGGAGGAGCGCTGTAAGCTGACGGGCTGGAGAGCAGTTTACAGCTTTCAGCACGAGTTTTCTGCCAAACATGATGTCCTTCTCCGGAATGGGTCCCTCCCGATGGCATTCTTCACTACCAGCCTCGACACAAATCCCAGGAGCCGTGTCCAGGAGACGTCACCATTCCCTCAAGGCCACCCACCCTAGCCTTGCCATCCTGAGACAGAGCTGGACGGGAGAGCCAGGTCCTGCCTCCTGTCCACCTGCAGAAGGCCCGTCCAAGAGTATTTCCTCTAGGGCCCAGGCCCCGGCCGCCAGGGCTCCCCTGAAGGTAACACAGCCAGCACCCCACCCCTGGGAACCCCTCCACCACCACCACCACCACCACCACCACTCCACCCCAGAAGAAAAGTGCAGACATGGCATTCTGAAAGTCGCCCCTGGGTTTTATTCAGAACAACACTGGTGGCTGCTGCCACTCTGTCCCTGGGGCCTGAAGGAACCAGCGCCCTCGGCACTCGGAGGGAGGTTCGTTCACACCAGAGAAGCTGTACATGGACTGGGGTGCAGGGGCCACAGCCTGGCCGGGCTCCTGGGGAGGCTGCCCCTCTGCCCCCCAGGCCCTGCTCTCCAGGCTGGACCAGGGACAATGATTATTGCACAAAGACAGAAGCGGTGTGTCTGGGCTACACAGCAGTGTCTAGACCCCAAGCCCTTACACAGCACAGCAGAAGGGGCTGGGAGCAGCCTGGCAATGCCGCCTCAGGGACAGGACTCAGGGAGACAGGCAGGTGGGCTGGCATGGTGCACACTGGTCCTCCCTGGGGGTGTCTTTGTAGAAGGCAGGAGCAGGAGGAGGGTCTGGCCAGGGTCGGGCCATGGCCCACTCTGACCTCAGATGCCTGTGGAGCCACTGGCAGGCCCACCGACCACCCTTCAGAGCCCTGCATATGGACAGCTCGGGGTGTCAGGCTCAGAGGCCTGCACTCCCCGACTAGGTGTGGGGGAGAGCATTCAGAGACATTTGTGCTTTATTGATGGGCAGGCATGAGGCTTGGGGGCCACAGCCCTGAGTGCAGGTCACGGAGACAGGAGGGCCACTGAGTCAGCCCTGAGACATTCTGCCTTGTCTGGGTCCCAGTTACCAGAGGAAGGCCAAATGCCTGGCATCTGCACGGAGGCCTCAGGTATGAGCCCCATTTCATGTATGTCCTCAGGCAGGCGTCCCTGCCTCTGAGCTCAGCAGTGTCCGCCTCTAGAGCCCTGTCCAGCCCCTTGCACAACCCTGCTGGGGCTGGTCTCTGCCTGACATGCCCTCCAGGAAAATCTGCTTGCTCCAGGGCCACACGGCTCAGCACAGAGGCTGTCAGTGTGGCGCCTGGTCTGTGAGGGCAGCAGTGTGCACTATGGAGGGCGGCCGGGGGCCTGAACAAGATGGGGGCCATCCAGCGTGGCACTGGGCCTGGCTCACGGCTGGTGCTCAGCCAGCATCAGGTCCCATCCCCTCGCCACCTGGTTGTCCTGCACAGGGTCTGCCCAGGACAGAGCCCCTTGTCTGGGTCCCTACACTCAAGTCCCTTCATTTAGTACGTCCTGGGCAGGTATATCTCTTCTCCCTTGCAAACACTCCAGGCAGGGCCCCCTAGTCAAGACCAGTGCCTGGCCCCAAGCCAGTGACTACTCCCAGCCAAGCCCCTGCTGCGGGTAAGCAGAGTGAGAGAGAGCCAGAGAGACCACCCTGCGCCTCTTCTTTCCCCCACAAGGCACACTTCCCCAAAAGCAACAGCCAGAACGAGCGGAGAAGGGGACAGGGCCCCAGGCTCTCAGGACTGGCAGAGTGGCTGCTGTGACAGCCTCGGGCCAGGGCCCTGTAGATCAGCCACGGAGGGGGCAAACCCCATAGGTTCACCTGCTCCCCAGGGAAGGACCCTCAACTTGGAGGACCTCCAGGGGGCTCAGCCCAGGGGCCTGCAGGCTGAAGGGGAGGACCAGAAGCAGATGGTGACACTCCAGGTGCTAGACACTGAGCTAAACTCACACGCTGGAGCTGCGGGGAGCAGTGCCCTCCTCTGAGGCACAGACACAACCCTTTCCGATCCGGGCATGAAGAGCTGGCCATCTGTGGGTCAGCCCTGAAGGACAAGGTGGACGACGCCCCCTCTCACCCTCAGCGTCCTCGCCCTCACCATCAGATCTGAGCGAGCAGGCCAAGTGTGAGGCCAAGCTTATGGGGGTCCCTCCCTTCACTGCAGCACCGAGACCCAGGAGGTCCCCGAGCCTGGGTGGGCTGGGCTTCCACAAGTCAGGCCGCTTAGCTGCACCCCAAACTGACCTGGCCATTCTTGAAGGTCAGGCTTTCAGAACACGAACAAAGCCCCCTTTGGGGAGGACCCAGCTGAAGCCATCAGAGGAGACCTCGGCGGAAACTCAGGACTCACTACGGCTGAAGTCAGAACTTCACCAACACACAACGGCCTCTCACCACCCACAACCCCACCAATCCACAGGCCACCCTGGTGCACTCACTTTTTAAACTTCACCTTGACCTCAGCAATACATCTGCCAACAAACACGTGGGTTCAATGCACTGTATTTCTTTCCCCCTCTAACATGGAAATAAACTCGGGAGAAAGATGGGCAATCTCCTCGCATGCAATTTAGTCTCTGAAAACCCGCTGGAGAGTCAGCTCGGACTCAGCAGTGATGGGGAGAGAAATACTGAACTGAATGTGAGCTTCGAATCAAAAATACCCGTGAGGACCCGCTTGGGAAGCAGGGCAGTCCTGAACCCGGCCAGAGGCTCTGGGGAAGGGAGGAGGAAGGGTGGCAGAGCAGAGGGTGACCAGGCCCAGGTGAGTGTCCCCACCCAGTTTGCAAACCTTCAGCTCTGCCCCACCCTGAGCCCTGGGGAGACCTCATCACTGGGCCGTGTGACTGGCAGGGGCAGACTTGTGCTGGGGGTAGGAGTTCAATTTCCTGGAGTAGCCACAGCTCTCGGCCTGCCTGGCAGTTAGAAGGCATTGAGTGACGACAGAGCTGACTCTGAAGCCAGGGACATCTGATGACGGGACAGCCCAAGCCAGCAGAACACAGCGGGCACACCTCTCTGACCACGCAGGTGTCCCTCTCACCCTGTTGCCTCTTCTCTGGCCTTCCTGGGGGGGGGCACAGTGCCCATCCCTGCCCTGAGATGCCCTCCACCCGACTCCCTGCCCTAGGAAAATGTGACTAGTCACCCCACTTTTTCTAGAATCTAACAGCTAGCTGTTGGCTAAGAGCTTTGGGGTGTCTACACAAGACTATTCACAACGACTAGACAGTCAGGAAAGAGACAGAACCCCAGTGGGGGACAATGTGGGATCTTAGCAGCGAATCTTCTTTAAAGGACGGGGGGGGGGGGAACTCACCCTGAATTGTCAGCTGTTCTTCTGGGCCTGTTTCCCTCGGGGACCTAAGGGTCTGCTCCTGGCTACGCTCAACCCAAGGCGAGGTCCCCGAAACTCTGCTGGCAGCCCCTTAGCAGGCCAAGTGCCCCAGGGCAAGCCTGTTCTGGCTGCTGGGAGTCGCTGGCCCCCTATCCAGGCCCTGGCCTGCACTCCCCAATCCTAGCACTTTCTAGAAGTCATAAGCTCTCAGTAAAAAAAATAAATATATATATATATATGTCTGTCTATATATATATATGTATACATATATATATACGTATGTATATGCACAGCAGGGCCACGCTGGGCCACGGCTGGGCCACACTGGGCTTTGGCTGACCCAGGCCCTCCTCAACTCTCCGCCGATGGCCTGGCGGCCGGCTGGCCCCACGAGATCCCCAGATGTGGACCAAGTATTGCTGTCTGCTCCCTGGCTCCTGAGGTTAAAGCAGTGAGACGGGGCGGGCGGGCGGTGGCGGCCAGCCCCGCAGCCCCCTCATCTCTTCCTCTTGCTAGCCGAATCCCCCCGCTCCAGCTCTCCTGGGGGAGGCTGAGGCTCAGGCTCCGTGGGGCCCAGGCCAGTGGGCTGGACCGGGCCTGGGGGGTCCTTGCTGCGCTCTGCAGCCCAGGAGGGGCTCCGGGCCAGGCCCCGGGGCAGGCCAGCGGGGAGGCCAGGGCCCACAGCCAGGCTGCTGGTGCTGCTGAACTTCCTGGGAGGGGTCAGGCCAGGGGGCGGCAGGGGCGGGGGGCAGAAGAGCGAGGTCAGCGACAGGCTGCTGAGGGTCTCGGAGTGCTCACTGCCCGCGCCCCCGCCACCCACGCCCGCCCGGCCACCCTCTTCATCCGAGGGGTCCATGGAGTCGTGGTGGGTGCAGCCAGGGCTGGTTGAACCCCCGCTGCTGTGACTGCGCTGATGAGCTCGGAGCCCCCGCAGACTGAACAAGCCACGGCCCCGCAGGCTGAGGCGGCGGCGGGCAGCGGGGGACAGGCCAGCCCGGGGGCCCGGGATGGGCACCGGCGGCCCCAGGGCACGCCGGGGGCTGTCACTCAGGGTCAGGCTGTCCTCCAAAGTGGTCTGCAGGCTGCCCGCCGAGCTGCTGGGGCTGGCGTCCAGGGACGTGTCGCTCTCTGTGGTCTGCAGAGAGAGAGCAAGAAATGGGGGTCACCAATTGCAGGGACAGCGACACGAAGGGGCTCACGCACTTCAGGGACGATGACAGTGTCCAGTCTGACTGTGTCTCCCCATTCCACATCATGCGGGTCCCGGCAGTCGGGGACAGCACCATCAACTCTGCTCCGAGGCCTGGTGGTCTCAGACCCCACCCTGCACCGAGGCTGAGCTCACCCACACCTGACCTCACCATACTCACTGACCCCAGACCAAGACTGTGGGTTACGTGCTGCACCCCACTGCCCCTCAGGCCTTGACACAGCTGCCTCGCTCCATGCTCACCACCCCCACCGCGCAGCCCCATCCTGCCCAGCTCCGAGGAGCACAAATCACCACCTTCAATAGACCCAGCACTCCTTACACAGAGATAAACACAGAGACACACACGCGCACACAGAGACACGCAGAAAGGCATGAAGACACAGACACACAGAGAGATACACAACGCACATGCTCTCTGTGAGCTCTGTTCCTGCGGGGTCTCAGACCAGCACAGGGTGACAGCTGGGGGCCGACACAGGTGCAAGATGACAGGACAGCTCTGGGGGCGGACAGGGCTCAGCCACCTTAGGCAGCTCCTCGCTCTACCTTGGGCCGCTGTTTACTCTGCGCTGTTTGCCCAGGTAGATGGTTATACCGGAGACCAAGACCCTCAACCTGCAGACTCTCCCTCCACCTCCTTCCTAGTGATCAAGTCTAGAGCACTCAGGGCGCCCTCCTCAACACCCCCCATCGCCACCCTCCCCAAGCTCAGAGCACCCTTCCCACTCCCCCCATGTCACTGCCCTCCTATTGCCCTGCCAGGCCTCCCAAATGACCTTGTGTCCCCTCTCCTCAAACTGGCACCACCGACCCTCCTCTGAAGCCCCCACACGGCCCTCCACACACCCTGGCCTGGGCATCCACCACCGCTCACCACTCACTGCCCTCCACTGTCCACACTGGGCCTTGGTTCCCCAAAGGATTCCATCTGCTCTGATCCCCCAGACTTTTAAGGTCCCAAGGAGCTGGCCCTGACCACTTAATCAGCCCCCAGTATCACTCAGCCCTCCAGTCTCTGCACTATTCCCATCCCAAATGAGGGTCGCCAGGGTAAACTCCTGGGTCACTGACATGAGGAGCTGACCTTCTTGGTCCACTTTCCCACAAGGTCCTGCCCCTGCACCCCACCCCATCAGGCCTTCCCCCTCCACCCACAGAAATCCAGCTCAGAGGCCCAGCAGGGTGCTCTACAGGACAGAGGGTCCATACCTGCCGGAGGAGGGTGCAGTTGACGCTAGGAGAACGCAGGGAGGCCCAGGAGCCCTGCAGAGCGATCTTGGGGAGCGTCCCGGGGCCAGCCACCTTCTCTTGCCCCTTCTGGCCAGCAGATCCCGCTGGGTGAAAGAACTCTGCTGGCATGGGCAGGAGCGGGCTGGAGTCGTCCGGGGAGAAGGGACTCGGGGGCACCGCTGGAGGGAAGAAGAGGACACTGAGAGCGGATTCACTGGGCAGTTAGGCCCTGTGGGTGGGCTCCGAACAGCATCCCATCACCAGGTCTCCAAGGTCAGCAACTCTTGACAGTCCAGCTTCAAGTCCAAGGCCAGGTCTCCTCTCTTGGCCTCAGTTTCCCAATTTTGAACTCAAGGAAAAAATACTGAACCTGCCTGTGTGATTCTTGGCAAGGAAGCGCCCTGGACAGAGGAAATACTCTGAGAACCGAGCAGATCCAGGTTCAAGTCCCGATCCCTAGGTTTCCTCCTCTGTAAAATGGGGACATGCGTGCCTTCCTCAAGGTTAAGGGAGGGACGGAAGAAGAGGAGGCAGCACCTTAAACCCAAACCAACATCCTCTGAAGTCTTCTCAAAAGCAAAATCGCTGGTTAAACTGGTGAAGATGTTTACTTGAGCACTGGGCTTTTTAAGAACTATTTCTATGGGATCAAATGGCATCAGCAACTCAAAAGTAGGCAGAGTGGATTATATTTGGGGGTGGGGGTGGGGTTGA